CCCCCCCCCATTCCCCCTAACCTTGTGTCTTTCTAATACAGCAGCAGAAGGACCTATGTGGACTGTATCTTATCAGCAGATCCCACCGTAAAGCCAGATAGCAGATGGTCACTGGTTGAGTGGGAAGCATTTACGGATAAAATACTGCATGCTGTCCTGGTTCCTGGGCAGCACTGAATGAAAGCCCCAGCATGTGCCCAGCAGCTGTGCTCCTGTAAGTGCTTCAGCTGAGCTAACCAAAATATTCCAAGTGCACAAACACTGACTTTTCTATGCTGACTGGTGTTTCAAGTGAGCTCATCATATTCTGTCAAGTTGCAATTTCTATGCGATGCAGTGTTCTCTGCTTGCTGCTCTCCACACTTGTGTCACTGCTGCCACCAGTTGCAAAAACAGCTGCTGTGTTCTAGCCTCAAGGTAGCTGTATCTCTGCACACAAGTAGAGTTCAAAATAGGGAGAGCCCTGACATAGCATTATGCTGCTCAGAAAGCCCTTTGGGAGCACTGTGGAATGAAGGGAATCCCATATTCCAATGTGCATTACTGGACAGGAAATTAATCATCTCGGTCGTCAAAGAAATGACATTGGTAGATTGCAATGCTAAACGATAGTTGTTCAAGCATTCCCATCAGAGCCCGTATAAATTACCTGCACCCTGGATCCGAGTTAAGGAAAAGCAACACAAAGTACAGGAAAGCTAGAGAGTTCAGTATAACATGTAGAGGGACAATTAATGCAGAGATCAAGCTAGAAAAATGATATTGGATCTTCCAATCTCAACATACCTGAGGTCTGCTGCAGGGATGTGGGACTGGATGAAGTGTGTCAGTGTGTCGCGAATGATTTTTTCAAGCTCCATGTCTCTCTAAACCTTTTTCTCTAAAAAAGAGGAGGAAAAAGAAAACTCCATGTAATTTCAAAGGCAAGAAGTAGATCAAAATATCAAGATCAAAAGGTAGGCATTGTATAAGTGTGCTCTTCCCATCAGAACAATTCACGAACTCCTCCATTATGGCTTGTCATCCCTGGGTAACAGCAGGCAAAGATATCCACAAAACTCAGCAAAATAAGGATCCAGTGGAAATACCAGCCCGAAGCAGCCCAATATCTTGGGCCTCTCCTGCTCATGTTGATGCTGGCAGTATGCAGCTGTACTGTACATTTAAAACGTCCTCTCCAGGAAGCAAAGCTGGAAATGCAGATGTGTCCAGCTGCAGGACCTCAGAGACACCTGAGCTGGAACGTTGTGCTGTCCAGCAAGGAAGCAGCGGGTAGTGGGTTTGCATGCTCAGTGAAGAAAGAGGTGGGCCATCCAGCTGAGAGCATTTGCAGTGATGCTTGGACTCAGGAATGAGTGGGAGGAAGGGTAATGTCTCCTAAAGAAAGGACAACCTAGAGCGTGTTTTACAGGGAAATACCAAGCACGGCACAGACAACTAGTCTGCCAGCCAAAATATCAAAGGTCTCCAGGTCAGGCATGGGCTGTCAGTGGAATCCTGCCCAAACAGGAGCCCATTGTTGTGCTTGGTAAATGAGCTATTCTGCAGTTGATGCAGCTGCAACAAGGGGCGCTTGATAACCCAAAACTCAGAGGAGTTCTAAGAATCACAGAGCTCCTACAGAAGCAATGGCAGAGGGGGCTGCCCACAGCCCACCTTCAGCTATCAGTACTGGGCCTGGACTGAACTGGGTGGAGAAAAGCTGCTCCTCAACCATTCCTTCCCCCTGAGGGTCTACAAAGCTGCTGGGTGGACAAACTCCTGGTGTAAGCACCAAGTTCTTCCGAGGGAGGAAACTAGCCCTGCATATAGAGAAACTGATGTGGTCATCGGTCAGAGAGCTTCCAAAGGTCATCATGCTCCCACCAGTGCAGCTCCCTCATTCCAACCACACCAGGACCTGACCAGGTCTGTTTGACACAGAACTTGAGGAGCAGTCACATGTGGGTTGCTGAGAGACAATTCCCATGTTCCCATGGGGATCAAAAAGGTTTGGCATTTCCCGAGATGAGACTTCCAGAGCTAGCAGGATATAAACAAAACGATGCCACGGCACTCAGCACTGCTCTTGCAGGACCTAGAGAGAACCAAAGCCCAGCAGCCTGTTGGCAGGTTCATCTGCAGTCTCGGGGCCTATTCAGGCTCTGCGCTTGGCCACCATGGCAGGTGCCAAGAGCACACATGCAGTCCTCTGTTTGTGGCTGGCCAGAGGAGCACACCCCAGCCAGCCAGACCTGCCTCTGGCTATGGTCACATTGAGGCTCTAGGGATTTGACTCTTGATATTGAGGGAGAAAGCTGTGACACAGGCTTATGCAAAAGTGCTCTGCTGCGTATATAGCATCCCCCATTGCATATCCCTCAGTGATTCCCCATCAAATATTCCCAGTCTGTGCTCTTCTACTCTTCAGGGCTTTGAACAAATACAGGTGTTGCTACCTGAAGGACTATCTCTTACTGAATCCCCGTGTCAGTGCCATTCCCTTGGGGCAGTAAGGAGACAAATACGGAAAGAACCTCACAGCAGCGGGACACAAACAGTGAGACATACTCATATAGAAGAACTGCCCTGATTTTTGCTGTGTTCAAAGCTAAACACAAAAGCCATCTAATCACCTAAACTTTCCTGCAGCTACTATTAATATCAACCCTCCCACTGATCTAGATCCAGTAACTAAAAAAGAAAACAAACCTTCTTTACATGTGCCTCTCACTTGGGGGAAATGAACAATGAGTTAAAAATGCCATGCCACTATATGACCAATACACATGTATTCAAACATAGCATGTGCAGAAACAGCCAGAGGAAGGGGCTTTGAGCAACCTGCTCTAGTGGAAGGTGTCCCTGGCCATGGCAGGGGGGTTGGAACTAGATGATCTTTAAGGTCCCTTCCAACCCAAACCGTTCTATGATTCTATCATCATCAGAAAAGATTATTTGTTTGCTGTTTCTGCCTTAAGCTAAAAAATGTCTTTGCTTCCTGTAATTTCAATTAGAAAATTCCCATTTCATAGCATTAGAGGAAAACAGGAGTCCAAACTTTTTCAGGTAGGAGCTCTTCACACAAACACCCAAAGTGAGCTCCTGAGCTCCTGTACTGCTTTTATTTTTCAGCCTCACAAGGATCCTTTGTTTGCATTTTTCTCACTTTTACAGACGTCACGGCCTGCAAGTGTGGAAGCTGGCTGTTAAAGCAATCACGAGTTAGAACACCTTCCCACTGGCCATTTGTTGTTTCTGTGTGTTTTGTGTGTTCTCTAGTGGTGTGACAGAACCAAGTTTATGTTTGTCATCTTTGCAATATACCCAGAAAAAAAGGTGAGCTTTTTTCTATCCTTCTCAGACATCAAAAAGCCAATTATAGGATTTTGAATCTCACTGTTGGCAAGAATACTGTTCTAAGCAGCCCATCTTCCCCCCATTTTAAGCTGAATCTGCAAATGCTGGCAACCACCAAGCCCCCTGAACTTGCAAGTACAAGAAAAGTAATTTGTTTTTTTTAACAGAAATCAGGGGTGGGACATCAACATATAGCAGTCAAAATGTTCTTACTGCAGTCGCTACTATGAGGAAGAATGCTTATTTCCTTCTTACTCAGTCTTCATGACAATCTGCGAACTGGAAGTCTAAAAAAAGATTTTGTCCATTTCTATGACACAGGCCAATGTTCTATAAGAGATAACTGTACAGTAACCAATAACGCTTCCTGACAACCCAATTACCTGAACAACAGAGCACAATTCACCATGTCAAAGGCACTTTTGTGAGGTCCATAAATTAGCTGCTGGTAATTTATTCTGATCAATAGAACAGGCAAAGTCACTCATCTCCTTAATCAAAGGTACTTGCAGGCAAGTGTCAGACTGGGACAAGAGAAACACAGAAAAAAATAATTCAGCAACAGGAGTATCGTAGCTACAGCCAGTCACTAACTGGTCTTGAATCCCTTCCCCAACCTCTGACAACCACAAGAAATGCTGGTGTGAAGTGTCTGAACATTCAGGTATTTTCCTGTGGAGTTACCATGTTGTATCTGAACAAAAGCTATTTCCTTTTGTCTATGAGAGGCAAGAAGGCAGCAGGCTTTAACTATTGGGTAAAAATTCTCTCTGGCATGTCAGACAAATCCATCCACCAGCACACTCGGATTTAAGGTTTACATCCAGAGAAGGCAAGGTGCCACCTTTAGCCTGCCTTTGAAGAAAGGAAACCCTTTAAATGACAAAAACACAGTCTTACACTGAAGGATAGAAAGCAGCTAGGTGATCAAGTATTTCTTCAAGGGTTAGCCATCGCCCTTTCACCTGAAGAACCCATCTCTACTCCTATAAAACCAGAGGCACCAAGAGAGACAAATGCACTTGCACTTGATCATTTATGGCCATGGGGGAGAGATTTTACTCCCCAGTAAACAGTCCTTACAAAACTTAACGTCTGGGGGATCTGTAGTGCACAATGGTCTTGACCGAATGAGGCCTGGGGAAGACAAGACCTGAAGGTCCTTCGGCCTTTCAGGTTTGGTGGGTATTTTCTTGAAATAGAGGGAGCTGATTAAAAACCTATGTACAAACATTTTAAAGCGGATTCTTCAAGGAATAAACTGATATGGCTGCATATTCCTCCTCACACAGCCAAGTTTAGAATTACATAACTCAGGACACCAAAACACCTTATGCATTATACCTTTAAATGCCATGTTTTTTCTAGTGGTGAGCTGCAATAGTTAAAGGGGAGATTTACTAGAAGGGCTTATCCTATGTGCACAGTTTTGTGGAGGAGTCATTTATAATGCACAGAATGATCTAAAACCCAAAGGCAGGAGAAATCAGTCTCCTGAGAGCTCAATTTTACTGAAAAGGTGTTACCATCTTTTTAAACTTCCAGCCATAATTGCAATGTGAATTTTAAGATCACTTTAGTAGTTGTCAGCTGATTCAAACGTATCTATGAAAGTCCTTCTGCATTTCCTGTCATTATAATGTGGGCTCTGCTTAACATGTTGCACAGAATCTATTTTTTTAAAACATACAGTCAAGAAATGGTGTTCCTATTGCTCTGCTCTCAGCTAGAGACTCACAGTTTTGCACTGTCAGAACAAGAGACGTTCAACCCTTGGAAATCCCTGTCACTTTTCAGTCTTTAAACACCAGGGTTTATTACTAAAGAGTGAGCAGTGGAGCACTGTATGTCATCTCATTAAGACAGGCTTGGTTTGAAATATCAGGAGTGCTTACTTGATCCACATAATATCGCATGGCATACGTATTTCCTCACCTCAGGCAGAGAAAAGTGGTATCAATTCTCAAAATGTGAATGTGAAAATCATTCATTTTCTGTACTAGATACTTTGGCCAGTGGCTCAACAGAGTTTGCCACCCTACCGTATGTCTTGAGAACCTAGTAACCTCCATCACCCTTGCATTTTCCTTTCTAACATGTTAATGTCAAATTTGGGTTTTTTTGTGAAACAGCTGCAGAAATAATACCCCCCTAAAAGTACCATTATCCTTGTGGTGTCTGAAATATCTGCTTATGCTATATTCAAGAAAAGTTGGCTTCTTTTTGTACAATTCATATGAATCTGCCTTCCTTCAAAAAAAAAAGGGTGAAAATCTGAAATGATTGCATACAGCTAGGTCATTTCCAAAGGCTCTTTCAACTCAAATTTCAGTAATCATTCTCAAATGGTCAATGTGATGATTCATTGTGCCTTGGATTTTATATTAACAAGATAGACTTGAGGGGAGCAATTTAGGAAAATTTTTCTGAGCTAAGAGGAACTGCCACTCGGACATATATCAACTTTTATGAGATCATAAATTTGCCTACCAATGAGTTGAGGTTTCTGCAAGTGGAAACAGATAGGTCTTGTACGCGTTGGATACTTCTCAGAACAGGTTAGAGAGAATTCAGGTAAATCTGATCCGGCTAAGGGATTGACTAAAACACCTTGAGAATGATCCTTTAGCTCAAGTTTCAGTAATTATTCTTAAGCGAATAAGTAATAGGACAGGGGTGGTTCACTGTGCTCCCTCTGAAAACTTATGAGAAAGCACAGAGCACGTTTCACGCAGCTTCGTGTGTGTGTGCGGCTGTGCTTGTGCTTGGAGAAGTGCAGATCCCTGGGATATAATGAGCAATTAACACACAGCCTCACAGGAAAACTCTCAAAAGCCAGATCTGCAGGATAGAGAGCGAGCTGTGGCTATACTCCACTGAACTGTTTTACCTGCTGAAACTTTGCTGGCTTCAAAGAAAACTTTCCAGGCTGAATAACAGTTTATAGACGTAATTTCAGTGCTCCCATTTTTTGTTTTGCTTGCTAAAGAAGTCCCTGAAAGGACTTTCATGGTGTGGTTGCTATGGGAAAGCAGGCTGAGGTCATTGTGCCTGTTAACACAGTTAACCACTTAATGCTCTGACGTTAAAATAAGGCTTTTGTTAATAACTTAGTCCCACTAAATTACAGTAATATTAGATCATAACGCCAGTGGCCAGACCCTTCCCTTCTCCCCCGAGATCTACATTGGACGGCTGCACTTGGGTGATGCTCTGCTGACATGGGGCCCTTACCTGAGCAGAAGTATCGCCTGTGCAAGGACCTCAGCTCACGGCCAGTGTTTACGAAGTCACTTCAGTGCCTGCAGGAGAGCTGACGGTCCATCCTTGGCCCAAGCTATGAATGAGCAAGTCCTTTATGGGAAAGGAAAGCTGAATTAGCTGGAGCACAACAGAATCGTTCACTGTATATTGGTGTCTTTATGCTTTATGTCACTTGTGACTGTTTCGCCTAATGCAAAGGGTACACCTTTATCCTGTGGAATAAAATGTACCTATGTGAAAGGCTAACTTGGATGTGAGGACAGTGTACTTGTCAGCCGTCAAATTCACTGCCACGTTGGGATGTTTTTCAACATTTACAATTTCTGTACCAAGGCCTGCAGCAGCCTCTGAACATCACTGACGTATTCCAAAAGCACTGGCGGCCTCATCACCACTGTGAAGCAGAACTTGTTTCTGGTGGCTTTAACGAGACAGACCAGAAAGCGAGCGTCAGGTTTCCCTGCTCCTGCGTGCTTGCGGCATGTCGCCACAGCCGACGTGCCACAAATCCCCACGCTGGCTCAACGGCTGGTGTTTACCTTGAGCTGCAATATCATACCTAACTATTGGCTGAGCAACTTCGGGGCGTTGTTTATTTTCGCTGTGCCTGTTCCCCCCCACCAGCGGGCAAGAATCACCTCGGGGGGGCTTGACAGAATTTGGCGACAGGGTGTCCCAAACAAACTGCCAGCAGACCGAGCCCCACCACCATGCCCCCCCC